TTTTTTTTTTTTCTTAACCAGCCGAAGTGTTGTTTTTTTTCTTGACATGTGATTATGTGTCATTGTCTTCTGTGAAAAATTTGTGGTTGATGATGTGACATCATTTCACTGAAGTTCCTTGTCTTTTTTTTTGGTTTTAGGTCTCCTTTCCAGAATGAAGAAGCAATGCTTTCGACTCATCAGAAAAATACCCTTTGTTGGCGGGGCGGTACGTGCGCTGTCTGTCTGTATCCTCTGATTCGCCTATGAGTCACAACTGATGACTGAGTGCAGAGGGGTAGACCTTTGGCACACTTAACGCTGTGCACTGAAGATAACATTGTCCACCTTCTTGCCATTGCCATCTTACAATAAATTCACATGAAGCTTTGACAGCGCACGGAACATCTTATCACATTCAGTCTAAATCAGTGGCACCAGCAAATTCTGCGGCACCCAGACATTGTCGCTAAAGCAACTCTGCTCTCATAGATCCAGAGCCAACTGAACAAGGCATTGGACGACATGTCCGCCAGTCTGTGCACTCTGAAGAACGGCATGAGTTACACTCAAAAGCTGCCCTCAAAAGGCCTCTCGCAGAGCCAAGTGCTGGACAAGATCAGCGAGTACCAAACTCTTAGTAAGTACCAGTAGTACGAATTATAACATCAAATTTATGGTGTTTCACACCGACTTTGGACTGTTGTTCTGAAGACATGTGTTGTTGCAGATGAGGTGCAGTGGCAGAACGGCTGTGTTTCAGGCGCAGTGTACTGGGGTGATGAAGCGCTGACAAAACTCCTGGTGAAGGTATGCACCAGTTACTGTCAGTGTGGTCATACAAGTGTAAAGATAAGTTAACCGCTGTAACATTAAAACAGAGTCGGCATGAATACGAAGTTTTTTGTGTTGCACCTCATGAATCTCATTATTGGCATCCTTTATTGAGGTACAAGTGTAAAAAGAAGTTTGCTGTAGTGAAAAAAAAAACGGACAAACTCAGAAAGTGAGCTCTCGTGAGGTACATTGAGGTCTTGCCTTGTATGCCACTGTGTTCCATGACACGCGTAATGACGGTCTGTCTAATTTAACTGTTGCAAAAAAAGTAAAAAAAAAAATTAAAAAATTAGAACACACACCCAGACGCATTCCGTCAACACTTGCTGAGGAAGATATGCGGACATGTTGTGACCTCATGATGGAAGTTACGTATTTCGAAAATATTGTAGCTGTAACTAAGTGGCTCGTATATGACTTAGCATTGCTCTCAGGAGATCTTTTTGTTGTTCTTTTTGAAAAAATTTTTCTCAAACATTTGTTGCAAGGTGTATGGTGATTTTGCATGGAGCAACCCACTTCATCCAGACATCTTTCCCGGTGTAAGAAAGATGGAGGCAGAGGTTGTCAGAATGGCTTGCACACTTTTCCACGGTGGACCCAACTCATGTGGCACAGTAAGCTCATTCCTTCTTTCTCTCTTGATGTACAACGTTAGAGTACATGGCTTGGCACAAAACAGGACATCGACATTAGCTGACAGTTTATTGTTGTTGTTTGTTTTGTTTTGTTTTGTTTTGTTTTTTTAGAACATTAGCTGACAGTTTATTGTTGTTGTTTGTTTGTTTTGTTTTGTTTTGTTTTGTTTTTTTAGGTGACTTCCGGAGGAACAGAGAGCATACTGATGGCCTGCAAGGCGTACAGAGACATGGCATATGAACGAGGTGTCAAATACCCAGAAATGTAAGATGAACTTCATGAAAGGGGTGTTTTCCTTTTTACAAGTCATGTTCAATTCCAGCTCCGGCCTCCCTGTTTGGAGTTTGCATGTTCTCCCCGGGCCTGCGTGGGTTTTCTCCGGGTGCTCCGGTTTCCTCCCACATTCCAAAGACATGCATGGCAGGCTGATTGGACACTCTACATTGTCCCTAGGTGTGAATGTGAGCGTGGATGGTTGTTCGTCTCTGTGTGCCCTGCGATTGGCTGGCAACCGATTCAGGGTGTCCCCCGCCTACTGCCCGAAGACAGCTGGGATAGGCTCCAGCACCCCCGCGACCCTAGTGAGGATCAAGCGGTTCGGAAAATGAATGAATGAATGAATGTTCATTTTCTCCTTTTTAGCGAAAGAATAACTGTGGGTACAAATAACACATTTACCGTATGAACAAATGAAAGTTACACCTTATCTTCCCTTCACCGTCCTTAAAATGACTAAAGAGTGGGCTTTCTTTTGCACCAATGAAAGATATATATTGTCGACTGTTCTAAGGTGTCACTTCATTTCAATACAGAAGTTGTCATGCATGAAGAGCCCTACCAAATTTACTCAGAATTACTAAAGTCAACAGTGAAATAAATACTTGGCTTATTTTCTGCATTCTTAACATACTGTGTGATTATCGTCATTAAAATTTCCTTCTACAGTCTTATATGGCCACACTTCTGCCCTAGTGCTCTTTGTCGGTGCAAAGCTATTATATGCCTATGCATCTGGTGGCGTTTTCTTTGTTGAGTGAGTCGCACCCTCTTTTGTTTTTTGCTTGTTTTTTTCTCCGCCTGTTACCTTTTGTGGCACGCGCTGAGTGAGAGAAGCAGAAAGTCATCCACCACAGTAGTAACTAGAATTATAATTTGAAACAGTAATGCGCACCGTCTGAAATGTTCTGACTGTTTCTTGACCATTTCTTTCCATGGTATGTACTTTGTACAAGAGAAGTGGCCCTTAGCGAGCTTTTGAGTGACAAAACATTGTTTTTGTCATTTTTTGCAGTCTCGCCCCAGTTAGCGTCCACGCGGCTTTCGATAAAGCGGCGCATTACTTTGGGATGAAGCTTGTTCACATTCCCCTCAATAAGAAAACAATGCAGGTTGACGTAAAGGTGAGAGGGAAATCAAGCACGTGTGACTGAACTTGAGTAATTGTATACTTACTCCATGTGTTTTGTTCCTGCTTTATTTTGACAAGGCGATGAAGAGAGCGATCAACAAGAACACAGCTATGCTTGTTTGCTCAGCCCCCCAGTTTCCACACGGGATTATAGACCCTATCGAAGATGTTGCCAAGGTCAGAGGCAGCATTTCTCTTTTAATTCTTCAATATTGTTTTGCGATGAATGTAATAAGATAAGATAAGATATCCTTTATTTGTCCCACACTGGGGAAATTTACACCTTTCAGCAGCAAGATTGTGGGTAGAAGGAATAGAAAAGAAAACACAGTTCAATTAAGTGCAATATAAATACAAATATGGATAAGGTCAATAAGTTCAATTAAGTGCAATATAAATACAATAGTCACAGTACTATTCACATTCACATTCGTTGTCATATCATTTAAATAATTTTATGATTTATTTATTTATTCATTTTTTATTCAGCAGCCTGACAGCAGTCGGTAGGAACGAGCGGCGGTATCTCTCCGTCTTGCAACGCGGGTGTAACAGTCTCTAATTTGTTCCGTATTTGAAACTTGGTGACCTGTTTTGCAGCTGGCTGTGCGAAACCACCTGCCGCTGCATGTGGATGCCTGTCTGGGCGGTTTTCTGATCGTCTTTATGGCCAAGGCTGGCTACGCCCTTGCACCATTTGACTTCAGGGTAAAAGGTGTAACCAGCATCTCTGCAGACACTCATAAGGTGAGATTATTTTTAAATAATGATGTGCGCATAGTTTGAAAGTGGAAAAACCAAAAACAATTTTCAGTACTTGAGATTCATAACCTTTTGTCATGAGCCAAAACATGTGACAGTGAGAGCAGCACGTCTGCTGCAATGGCTGTTTTGTACCAAAATAAAACTGCTTCATGATGTGGGTAGCAGGTGATGAAGGCTCCAGTGCACTTAAATATTGTTCAAACAAGGAAGAGAGTTGTCAGGCAGTAATCAACGCGTCCACAATGACTCGTGTGAAAAACAGAAGTTGTATGCAACACAGAAGCTCAATCTGGGAGGACTTTACCTGTGGGGAAAACCACTGTTTTTGCTGGATATTACTTGTAAACTCTGTCATTGAAAAAAATGCTGTCTTAGTCGTGCAATACTCGTAAGAGTTGGCTAAAATTTGAACCACTTTCACACAGGTTCCAGTTCATAAATTGCCATTCTCTTAGTTGAAGAAAAATTTAAATTCATAAATTGTTTGGAGCAAGCTGAGTAAAATATTAACTCAAGTCAAAGTAGTGGATTTTTATTTATTTATACATTTTATTTCAAATGTGTTAAAAAAAAAAAAAGCTTACATTACATTAAACCACTTGACTACACGATTTTATCTGTCAGAATTTGGATTATTCCGACAGGTTTAATCCAAATAAGATGCATTTTATGTTCTTCTGTGGACGAATTTCCAAATGAATCCCAACATTCTTAATTTTTTTTTACCTTCCTCTTCAGTACGGCTACGCCCCCAAAGGTTCCTCAGTGATTCTCTACAGTGATAAAAAGTACCGTCACTATCAGTACTTTGTGGCTCCAGACTGGCAGGGCGGAATCTACGCCTCGCCCTCCATCGCAGGCTCCAGGCCCGGAGGAATTGTCGCGGCCTGCTGGGCAACCATGATGCACATGGGACAGAATGGATACGTGGACGCTACTCGGAAGATCATCAGTGTAGCACGCAGAATCAAAACGGAGTAAGACCTGTGCAGTTTTTTTGTGGATTTGTGATAGTTTTGCACATTGAAAAGCTAATTTCGTTTCTTTATTGACAGGGTTCGAAAAATTAAAGGTGTGTTTGTGTTCGGCGATCCCGAAGTTTCAGTGGTGGCGATGGGCTCGAATGATTTTGATATTTTCCGTCTGTCGAACGCACTGACGTCAAAGGGCTGGAATTTGAACACACTTCAGTATCCATCTAGGTAAGTAGAAGCCAGGTAGCCGCACTACCAACATGGTTCCATCGTACCAGCCATGCGCACTAGTTTGACAATGTTTCAATGTCTTGACAGCATCCACATTTGTTGCACAGTTCTGCACACCCAGCCGGGTGTCGTGGAACACTTTGTGAGTGATGTCAGAGAACAAGTTGCCATCATTATGAAGAACCCCAAAGAGAAAACCACAGGAATGGTGAGATGACACTTCAGACAGACTTGCTCCAAATGAGTATTGTCAATATGGAACATAAATGTGCTGCTGTGGTAGCAAAAGGCAATTTTTCACCCTTTTGATCACACTTCAAAGTACTCTCGGAAAGCAGAGATAAGATGAGACTTCAAACGGTACGCTGACACGTTCCTGTTCTCTTTCCCCTCCGCCTCCAGGGAGCAATCTATGGCATGGCGCAGTCCATCCCAGACAGATCCATGGTAACGGAGATCTCCCGAGGCTTCCTGGATTGTCTTTACAGCACAGAGGTGACCAAGTCCAATACCAGCCACATGAACGGTAACGGCAAAGCCCACTGAAAAAGGATCAGGATTGTTTGGAACTCGATGCACACGGGAAATTTGCTCATCTCCTCCCAGTGCTCCGCGTTCATGGCTGAAAGGTTGCCTTATCCTGCATCACTGCATGGAAAATGCCTGCAAAGGTGTTTTTGGTTTTTATTTTAAGCACAAGACGACCCCCTGAGGTAATTTACCTAAAGACTGGCTCTCCTAGATGAGTTTTGGTGTTCACATTGATTTAAATAATGTAGTGAATGTGTTTGTTCCATTAGATTCATTTCAATATTCACCAATCGGCATAGCAAAGTCGGACCATTTCAGTTTGCTGCTGTCATTTTCACAATCTCTGACGACTCGGCAAAAAACAGACCACTGAGAGCTTGTCGCTGTACTGCGCTTGTGAAACGGGATCTAACTGCATGAGACCGGTTCTCCATATCATGACAACTGTTCTCTAATAGCGTTTTTAATGTAAAAGCACTGCAATGGGCTGGGCAGGATCACATCAGGTTCCTTTTTAAACCACATGGTAGTACCACTCGGTCATCCTGTACACTTACGTGCTGATTTGATCGCACTTAATGTAATTATTTTCAATTGAGCCGCAGTCGTTGTACATTTGCAGTCGGACTTCAAATATGGGAGCGTTTTATATCACACGATGTCCGCGGAGCAAATGCTTGAAGTCAAACAGCTAGTGTAACCCAAAGCTTAGCAGCTGTACTGGTTGTCTAACCCCTTTCATAACAACACGGTAAATCACATGTCAGATCATTGAAGCGATTGTAGCTGTTTCCTAACAGTATGTGCTCGAGTGCGTGGCTTCATTTGTCGAGTCACCCATGTTTTGATATTTGTGTCCTATATCAATCTACCTCACTTTGCACTTCTACTTTTGGTGCAAACCTACCAATCAACTGTTAACTTTTCTTTCCAAAAGTTGCACCTATTTAACTTTTAACACTGTCAGGGCATTTTGAGTTATCTTTTAATGTAGAAAAAAAATGATAGTGATCCGCCATGTTTGAGTCTATTGATTGACAAGACAGCAGATTTTCACCTCTGCACTTGAAGGACCATGTTTTATATTCATGGAATGTTTCCGTCATTGTGCAATAAGTGTTTGTTTCTTGAAATGATAGAATGGGGACTGTTCTGTAGTAATGGTTAACAAAATGTAATCATGTTTGTTGATAGCTTATCAGGGCAGTGGGTGTTTGTACTCTTACAAATGTAGAATAGTTTTCAGATGATTGAAATATATGAACGCTTTTACATGCCTGAGCTGCACTCCTTTCAGGGTTCGAATGTTGAATGTGATAGTGCCTGGTTCAAAATCTGATGGCAACACCCCCCCCCCCCCCCCCCCATTCCACCAATGATGTATAGCTCAATGGATGAATATTCACAATTGAATCGCACAAGTTCTACTTTTCAGTCGAAAAAAATAACAGCGCTCTGTAAGTAACTTAGACTATGTTGCAGCTTTCATGGCCGTTTTAATGACGTAGCAATAATGTGTTCACCTCTGTGCCTTCAGAGGTTTCCGTTCAAACTACTTTTATTTCCTTTTAACACGCTCAGGGATTCAGTCTTGTTTCAGACATCATCGAGGTCCAATGCGCTTATCTGGGGTGGGCACAATAGTGAGCCAACTTCAACTTGAGCTGTGATTGAGAGAGAGAGAAAGGATTCCAGTCTGGTTGCAGGTCTGAGATTTGTGTACACAAGGTAAAATACGTGGCTTAGGATATACTATATGCTTGTGATCTTATTAAGAAGTTTCATCTAATACCCCCTGCGCCCCTCAGGTTGCTACAATAAAGAAGTCAAAATTTAAGCAGCATCAACAATGAGCATTTAGTGTTAAGATTTACTCAATTGCAATCTTTAATGTTCTGTTTTCAATAAAATATATACTGTGCTTTGTGTTTGCGTTTTTGTGTGTGGGGCAGGGTCTTTTTTTTTTTTTTTTTGTGAAAACAAAAAGGAAGGGAAGGTTTGCAGTAAATTGTTTTAGTACAAAAAAAAGCACTCTCGGTGTTAATAAGGGACATGATGTGACATGATCACAAGATGTCTTTTCACCAAAAATACACCATTAACTAAAATGATATACAACAGAGCGTTGGTTGGAAATAGTCCATTCCCCTCTAACACACATTGCGCTAATCTAGATCCAACTGACATTAAATACAATTTCTTGATAAAATACAGGAAAATAATTCCTGAAAGATGAACATTTCACAATGACGATTCGTATCAGCTACTTCAGTGTGTGCAAAGCCACTAACACAGACCTCTGCAAAAACACATTTGACACTTTACAGGCCACTGCAATATTCAACAAAAACGGCAAAAGGTTACTCTTTGGATATTTAGGCAACTTCTTCAACTTGTGGTCACATCAGTGAGGCTTGGTCAATGAAGGTGGCCAAAGTGATGTCGCGCTGCGAGAGCCCCCCACAGTCGTGCGTGCTCAGGGTGATCTGCACCTGGGTGGTCACAATACAGGGTCATTAGTGACACTAACAAAGTTGTTAAACCAAAAAAATGTAATGATATCCAACGTGTGAGTTATACAAAAAAAAATGTTTGGGTTCCATGAAGCAATTGAAATACAAAATAACCACATCAAATAGAAATAACTGGATTACCGGGGTTTTTACATTCAAGCTATTATGTTTAACACATTAAAAAAAGCCAATTAGTTAATGGCAGCAGAAATGAAGGTATTTTACATTTTGAAAAAAAAAAAATTAAACCGTTAAGAAATATGACCACCGCTGTGTCTGCTTGACACGAAATCGTGCAAAAGTGCACGAAAATAGATTTATAAACATAGGACATACATTTTATATATGGGTGTGTGTGTGTATATATATATATATATATATATATATATATATATACACACACACACACACACACACACACACACACATACAAAGACAGTTTTATGTATATTAACATAAAATCTCATGTCTTAAAATTGCAATTCGTGCACAAACGTGACTAACATCTTATACAACAGTATCTAATCTTCATTACCATGTGTACACATGCTAAAATGTGATATTTTAATATACTGTTTTGGGTAACAATTCTGATCAACTCGTCCATCCATTTTCAACACCGACTATTCTCCCTGGGCTCATGGATGACCTGGAACTTATCTCAGCTGACTTTGGTCCTTATAATTATCTGGTTATCTCTTCCAAAAGCAAGCTGCCACCCAAAACAATTTAGAATTTCCTATCGATGCCACAAGATGGTGGCAAAGTATTCCTTATTTTTTTTCCCTAAATGAAGCTCCTCAGCTCACTTCATAGTTCCTTTGCAAAAAAATACCATGAGATGGTAGCAGCCCAGAGATAGGTTTTCAAGTAAATCATGGAGGATAGGTTGCTTTTTTTCCATCATGAGCTTGCGCAAACGCCAGACTGTATATAGGTGGGGGTTCACAGTACTGTACCTTATTGTAAACATTGAACCATTCAGGATGATGGTCCATCTTCTCTGCTTGTAGTGCCACTCTGGACATGAAACCAAAAGCCTGGATGGGAGAATATTGATTTGAATTGTCAATATGCTGCACAGTGTACCTATTGATTGTCTTTGTGTGCATGTGTGGCAAGAATAAGAACCTGATTAAAATCTTTAAAAAGAAACTCTTTGTAGATGGCATCCCGGCCCACCACCTCCACCCATTGGGCGTTCTGCAGCAGTGGCAGAAGGTGAGCTCTCTCCGCGTCAGTCAAACTCTGGATTTTAGTTGCCTGAAATGACACAAAGGAGAGAGAGAGGGGGGCAGTTACACCAACGCAAACTGTGATTGGCTATGCAGGAATTCCATCTGGAAACAATGAAAAGCTACATTCTTGGCTCATTAAAACAGGCTGGTACAAATGGTACATACAGTATGTGCTATTCGGGAGGAGGAAGGGGGGTATTTGCCTAACCTCTGTTCATTTAGTACATGATGCGGAATCACATGAATTTGACATCTGATGCTAATTCACTATCAGGCCTCGTGACCCTGCACTTTATTACTACTTCCTGATTTCTGGCTGGTGTAATGTATTTTTGTAGGGCAGGGGACGCTGAAAAAGGATGTGTCCCCAAGCCAGCTCTTGAACTCAGAGAACACACGCGAGAGTCTACAAGGGAGCAATGACATCAACAGGTACCATAGCAACGCTCTTATCTGCTGATCAGTGGCAGAAGCCAACCCTAAGCAAAGACTCAAAAGCCTCGCTTGCTCTCACACTCGCGTCATACGTGTGCATGGGCCATGAACGTGAATTAATAAACCGTGCAACCATGCAATTAAAAAAACAACACAGTATTGGATAAATGTTAACACTAATACTGTTATTGTGCTCCCAATCATGACTCTAGCGCAGTGGTAAATGTATAAGCGATTTTCATCTAAGCGTTCCCACAAGTGTGTGTCAGAGGTTGTGTACTCACCATGTTTGCAGAGCGGTCTCGTGCACAAAGGTAACAGTTTCTTCCTACAGCTCTGCGACAACAACTGGAAAGAATCAACAGATGAGCTGCAACCACGGTCCTTTTAGCTGCCCTGGTAGAAGCCTGAGCAGAAATCCATCTGTCAACATTGGCTTAATCATCAACCTCTACTTCTGAACTCGTGCTCAGGCTTTCACAATGCAAAATCAAGCCCAGACTATTTGCAATGGATTTATGTAAACATGTTAGAGGTCAATTTAAACTTCCATATAAGACAGGGGAGTTCATGCCAAAGGTCAATGAGCTCCTCCTATGAGGATGCCCCCATGAACTAATCTGTCACAGTGAACGGCTGTGGGGGGTTAATGAAATGAAACAAGGGGCAGGATGTGATAAATTGTTAGCTTTTAACGCTCTACTAAATCTGGAAATGAGAACCGTGCTTCAGCTTAATATGTGACAAAGAAATGCAGAGGAAGATGATTTGAATTAAAAGTCATTACAGTATAGTGTAGACAACAGTCAACAAAAGGGGTATCCAAAACGTTGAAAGGTCACATCGCTCAGTATGTAGTTTGCATAACATTAACTGTATGTCTTACCGTTTGTGTTTCTTATCGGCATACTCCACCTTGGTGGTCAGAGACAGAATATAATATAATACGGTGTTTTTCAACCTGTGTGCCGCGTCACACCAGTGTGCCGCGAGACATTGTCAGGCGTGCCGCGGTAAAATATCTAATTTGTATGCCTGTGCGGTCTTTCGCCCATAAAGTAATTATGTAGTACCCTCCCATACCGCTAGGGAGCAGCAACAGCTAGCCAATTGCCTTGTGTTTCGACGAGAGAGCAGCAAATTTGTGACGCATGAATACAGGACGACGGTGAAACAATAAATATGAAAGATGATAAAATACTTTTTTCTTTGTGTTCATTTGATTCCAATTCAAACTGTTATAACGTCATTCTTCAATGTTAAAAACGGTTATAGTAACAATATAACACGTTAATTGTTAAAATAAGCTGGGGGGGTCACATTTTCAGCTAGTGGTGTGCCGCGAGATTTTTTCAATGAAAAAAGTGTGCCTTGGCTCAAAAAAGTTTGAAAAACACTGATATAATATATATAATAATACTGTGTGTCGCTGGCGTCTGGCAAATTCTTGTACCTCCAAAATCATTTCATTTCAGGAGACTCCTGGCACACACCAAAATCAGCTCACCAAAGAATCCCTCACGCTCACCTCACGCACACACACACACACACACACACACACACGCACACACGCACACACGCACACACGCACACACGCACACACACACACACACACACAGAGCACTTTTTTTTTCACAAAATCCTGGCATTTGAATGGGGGTGTGCAAACTATGGGCAAATAGTGTTTTTTGGCCTCAGCAGCTCCTCATACACCCCAGCAACCACAATGATAAACATAAATTGAAATGAGTTGTCGGCAGCGTCAGTCAAAACAGAAAAGTATTGCACTTTTGAGGCAGAATTAGAATTAGGTGTCCTTATTATTTTGGCCAGTTTCTGTATCTGGTGTTTCTTGTACAAAATTATCGTCAGTGTTCCATAAAAAGGAATTCCAAACAAAACATACAATATGACAGGAAGCACAAACTTCATCCGCACGCTGCCCTTTGACCATTTTTTTATTAGTTCCAGATCAGTTATGCCGATAAGCAGAGGATGTCTTTTCAAATGACAACATGGAGCTGGTCAGACTTCTGCGAGTGTGTCTGACTTTAGTAGTTATTTTCACCTGTGGCTGTGGCACGCATATCACATCAGGTGAGTCAAGTGCTCGTGATTCTGATTGACCTCACTTGAACAAGATCATCACACTTGTTATTTCATGGTTCCGTAGTTTTGAAATAATGCGTGGAAGAACTTCCATTTGATGATTAAAAACAAATAAATATTGTTCCATTGTGCATGCTCTCAATAAACTTATTAAAAATTCTATTTATATGTTTTCCTCTCAGCTAAGATTAAAATGGTGCTGTTTTAAACAATAAACACAGAATGGTACACCCTTATGTAGTAGAATGATGACTGGGATGGAATGGTGATTGTGATCTTGAAGAAGATTTGATATCTCATATTTATGATGAACATAAAGTGTCACATGTCAATTGTAAATCTGTGTTATTTGTCTCCATGCAGCACCCACTCTGAAAACGGACCAGGCTTTGTTAATATTTCATAACCGGCTGCCCCATGAAGTTGAGGTCTTGTACACTTCAGATTTTTGCTACAAGGTAAACAAGCCTACTAGACTGAGTCATTAACAATCATTTGGGTTTTAAGGTCTTCTACAATACAGAATGCAGAAGGTACATTTTAAGGCTTTTTTTTTTAGCTTCAGAAAACAAATGAGCTGTGATTAGTTCCTGAGCAACTGCGATGTCAGTTGACAGAAAGTGGCAACATGGCCGCCTCCTGAGATGGCTAAAAACAGGTGGATCTTACTGCCTAAACCCATATTGCACAAATGCAAAACGAATCAGAATGGTGTGAGAGATTTAGTGGAAGCGCATAGAACATATTTTTGCAAAGAACATTTTTGGGTTGACTTCTTGAAGAAAGGCTATGAAATGATATTGGTAGTATAGGTTTGCGTACACAGTTGCCACTCAGTGACTGTGTGAAAGTAAATTAATGTTTGTCTATATCCAGTACGTGCGCAGTGATTGACTGCTGACCAGCCCAGGGTTTAAGTTGGCCTTTTGCTCAAATTGAGCTTGGATCTTGTAAATTTGAGCTCCCTGCAACCGGAAACAGGATAAGCAGTATGGAAAATGAATGACTTGAGAACACAGTTTACAGACTTTTGCCACTTTCCTTTCATTTCCTACTGAAACATACTGTTGTAAGATATCCATAAACCCCCCACCCAAAAAAAAAAAAAAAAAAACCTTAGCCAGCGTATTAATCATTTTGGGCTTAAAGTTTTTGTGGGGTGGTGACATCAATTTGCATTGGACATGACCTAAGGTCTTCACAGCCAAGCTCCGAAAATGAACTGCCTCTCTCCACAGCAAACGATATGCCCCCTCCCGCCCCCTCCCCCCCATACATAAAACAAGCATACGTGTGTAAAATCTTATCTGATTTAGTATGGTTACTGTGCATGCAGGGATACAATGAAAATGTAAGATTTTCTGATGCTTAACTGGATTGTTCTGTTTTCTATTATTAAATATCATGTGAAAAAATTTTAGATTTTTCTATCATCAGAACATTTTGGCGCGCGTGTGTCTGTGTGTGTGTGTGTGTTGTGTGTGTGTGTGTGTGACTCGATGTGGAGATTCTGTTTCTCGATGCTATGAGTGTGTGTGTGTGTGTGTGTGTGTGTGTGTGGGTGTGTGTGTGGGTGTGTGGGTGTGTGTGTGTGTGTGTGTGTGTGTGGTAGTGGTGTGGTGACAGTGGGGGTTTCTAAACACAGCCTTATTATCATGTATCACATGTGTAATTTTGGCATTTTTACTTTCATTTCTCTTTAGTGTGTTTACCAGAGTTTGGTCCATGTGAAAGCCAGCTACAACAATGCATCCGCAGCCATCAGCACCAAATTCCCTTTGAGCTTGCAAGTGGAATCCAACAAGAGGAATGCAATTCTTTGCCGGTAAAAAAGTTCAAATCAACTCAGCACTACTCAGCTAAAAAAAAAAAAAAAAAAAAAAAAGCTGATATTTCTCTGATGTAATTTGTTTCCAGTTTTCATGTTAACTATTGTTAAGGGAGTGTTTTGCCATTTCTCCACACTCAGTTTAGCATAATGGGGTAACACGATTGCATCACTGATGCTGGGGGGAGTATTTCTGACGGACTTTCTATTGCTGAGTGATGTCCTCACTGAAACTACTACCTCGGTAGATATTGATCAGCAGCCTTTTTGGGGTTAATAAGACCTGACATTCCAATATTGATGGAAGGGGATCATTAAAGCTACACAGTGCCATGTCCAGCTCAAACCTCACAACAGAGGTTAAATTGGAGACAACAGTTGTCATAAATAAATTGGTCAGGTCTGACAAGAAGACATGGTTCCTTCCCGTTGTGGCAAGTGGGGCCAAGTGTCACATTATAAGCCCTCTTAAGAGGTCTGGACTTGTGCTTTCTTAGTCAATGCTCAGGTCTCTAATCAGGCTGGTGTTATTGATTTCCTCTCCCCTTTTAAAAAACACTCCAAGTAATAGCTAGTTAGTCATTCCAATGGTGGATCAATGCAAGTTGAGGTAACTGAGCGAGCAGAAGCGAGGACTAATGGATGCACTTACGGTTGATAAGCACTAGATGGCACTCCAGAGTTTCAATTGGTGTCACAGCCGTTCAATTATCAGAGTAAGAGGCCTGGTTAGTCAGGACCAGAGAAAACAGCTAGAGACTTTCCATTTGACTGTATTTTGTACAGTGAATACAATACAATTTTAGGTTAAAAAATAGTGGAGAAAACAGTAAACAACAATCGTAAAAGTGGTCACCACTACCACCATATTCCATACCACTTGTTCTTATTAGGGTTGTGTGGGTACTGGAACCTTTCCCACCTCACTTTGGGCTTGACGGGGAGTACAGACCTTAGTGGTTGCCAGCCAATTTCAGGACACATGTAAACAAACAACAACAATAAAATAAATGCATCACACTCGCCACACCAGAGATGTTAGTTATCAATGTATAGTATAAATAGTGTGACCGTATCACAATAGATGCTATGCCAGTCAAGTTCGACTGGCAATCAGAGGACATAAAAAAATGGTGACATCATCGAGGACCAACATTCTGGCCCACGAGGACATATTTTAAGTCTGATGGGTTCGAGAAACAGTTTGTTGTTAATATAGTGTTGTTTATATTACAGTACCTCAGACAGCACTACTGGTCCTGAAAATTCTGGGCAGAATAGATTCACCTGGCATTTCACAGACTGAAATCTAATTGGATACACATTGAAATATTGGAAGCAGTGCAGCCAAGAAAAATGCCCTGAAATGAAGAGAATAGACTGCTGGGAGTAAACCCATACAATGTCATGTCACAAATACTGTATTACAATTTAGTTTAGAAATTCAGTTCAATGCTGCAGATCCTTTGACCAGCAATGTTTTGCTGCCCCAGATGGTCCACTGGCGTAACTTAATAACTATTTCACTGTCTTGAATACAGATGGAATCAAACCTATGAGGAGGGTGGTCACTATTCGGTTTGGATCCTCAGGTCAGACAATGCCAGCAAAGCCACCTGTATTCATACTGTGGACAGAAAACCTCACAATTCCTACTTGCGTAAGTGTCCAACAACACTGATGTGTTCCCGTCGAAGGAGGGTGATATAAGTGCTTGCTGATTGCATAGTGAACAAAAATATCAACGCAACACTTGGTGCTCAGGTCATGTGTATGGACTGCTTTTCTGATCTTGACAAAGGAAAATTGCTCACTAATCCAGATTTAGACTGATGGTCAACGATATTTGAGACCGAGATGAAGGCCTTTTTCGGAAATAAAAAAAAAGTCTTTGAGTTCACAGCATGCAAAATGGGAGCAAAAACCAAAGTGCTGCTTTTATATTTTTGTTCAGTCGAAATAACTGTCTGGGTGTAAGAAAACCTGCCTCTGAACCAAGCCACTTTCTTATTCATGGCGTCAGCATACAGGAGCATCACTTGCTTTGTTCGCATTTAGTGCACAGTATTCTCTTCCCTCTCTTGGGACATCCTGTGTCTTGATCACATGAGACATGCTTTCTTAAAAAGGGATAAAAAGAAAAGCTTTTGTGATTGTTTTGAAGGCCCAGACCTGTGCGTGGAGGACTGTGGGTAATACATTAGGGAGGGAGGAAGGATTAAGCCATAATGGGATTTTGAAAGCGTCTCTGTCCATAATGTACACCCTACTTAACAATATTGCAGATTATGTTGTGGATCCGACTTTTAAGGCCGGGGAGCCATTATCCGAGCAGATATACGGTCAGTGGAATGGCACCCCTCACAGTATGATGAGCTTCCATTAGCTACACGCGCTGGTGATTATACAAACTCCCCACAGGGTATGCTCGGTTTAAGTAATGGTTTGGTCAGCAGTTGAAGCCGTGCTAGGGAATTTGAAAGTTTAGCTCTGCGTGTCCCATTGATTGGCCATAGCGTGAGGTCATTTTTTTAGGTGTGGTCTTCTTCAAAGGACGTGTGTCCGCGCACAATGTTGGTACCATAACGGCACCCAAAGCACAACTTCAAGTTCAATAGCGATCCCCCATTAAGTGTCTCCCTTACGCAAATGTATTGATGAACTTAATCTAGTTGCGCCGAAGTGCCTCTATTCATCTTGCCTTTATCCTGACAGTAAGAGAGCGAGCCCAACCGCTGCAAAGTGTGTTTCACTTCACGCGCTGAGAGCTTTATGATGTTTTTTTATGAGCGCACATCAACGATGCCATGACTTTCCAAAGGTGATGAAATGACCACTCCATGCTCGGAGAGGATGTCAGTGAGGCCGCTCGCTTGGGTTCAAATGGCTTCTTTTTTATTTGTTCTTCCGCTAAATAGGCAAACACAGCATCCACAGCCTCCCTTTCTGCTCCGCTTTGACGCACTCACATCTCTCCCGAGCTTGTTTGCTCTACTTTTAGAGACTCATTCACAGCTGTAAAAAACATCACTGACATTTGAAAGTTATTGATGACGATGAGGATGAAGTACATTTCGCAGTGCGCTTTTGTCTTCATTGACTCCTGTATGTTGTGATGTATTTTTATAAAAGTCGAAACAAGCAAATGTATGTAGTTTTTATCCTCAAAAATACAATTTGCATCTATGCTGGAATGCTATAACATTTGACCCGTGTCATTGATCATTAACCCTGTGTGTCTTTTGCCTTGTGTTTATCCAGCTATTCTGGTGGCGACTCTCTTCTTGGCTGTAACTGCTCTTATATTTGTTGTTGCACCCTACATATACAGGTATCTCCATAACTTTGAAACTCTGTTTTTCTTCACTTATATTGTAGGTTCGGGGCTCTATTTTCATGGTCGGCGCATGCGGAAATGCTGGTGTATTTATTTTCATGCGAGGGCAAGCCTCATTGCCCCTATTTGGGATTTCCTCTAAACCCTGTTTGGTGTCTAACCTAGCAAGAGCATTTCCAATGACATGTGCAAGGCATATCAGACAATTGTGTGGCTGAAAGTCGGTCTACACTTTAGCCTACTCACACCGTGTCTAACTTTGGGCGCAATGTCGAATGCTTGTCTCAGGGCGATTTTTGATCATTTTTATGGAGGTGCTAGCAGACAGATATGTGGGCTGTGTGGACATTTGTGGTGGATGTCATCGTCTCATTCATAAAAATGACACCAGCGGGCATCAAACCTTCCGAATCATCATTTCATTGAATCTATCATTATTATTATCATTACTATCATCATTATTTTTCTTAAATCATCCCACTTACCAGCACACAGCTCTGGATTGGTGGCAAACTACCGATTTGGAATCGGGGGATTGTACATGAGGTTCATGGGCATATTTATACCATACAATACATCCTGTTTTATATAGCGCTTTCACAACAGCTGCAGCTGTAACAAAGCGCTTCACAAACCAATCGCCAGAGTCTCATTCTGTATTTAATGAGTGCACGCACTCATGTTGTCTGTTGCCACATTGGCAAAAACGGTTATGTACACCTGGATTTTTGGACTTCATCATCTCTCCTCGCAAGATGTGCGTGTGCTGCATTGAAATGAGATGAGCCGCTTTGATTGGTGGTGAATAGAGTTAGCATGTTCATGGCCTCAACGGTGCAAGGCGTGCTTTCCTCAATGCACTGGTTTGCATCTGCGAAATTATCAACACCCGGTCTAAACCACCTCAGTACAGATTTATCATGCGCCCCGTGCCAGACTTGCCGCGCCCATCATGAAAATAGAGTACTTTCACTCCAATGTATTATTTTCACCCTGCCATTTGGTGTTTCTTACAGAAAGTGTCGCACATCGAAATGTGCAAAGACCATTTGCTGCCACAGCCCACAGTATTCGCTTGATAATGTAAGTGAAACACTCTCAGTCTTTGTCAGTTTGGAAACGATCATATGCGATCGCTGTAATTTGGGAGCACTTTTCTAAGTTACATCCTGATCCAACAGTTCAACTACATTGTTTGGCTTGACCAAATAGAGAGCTTGGTGCATGGTAAAATTTCGCAGAGCCTCCAGTCATCAAGCTGCAGAGACACTAATAGAAAGATTGATACAAATGTTAGCAGAGCCATTTGTGCAGCAGACTGACATAGAGGCATTCAGACAAACATGCGATGCATTTTTTGGTGAGCATGAATGGCTCCTCTCATTCTTCCAAGCAAGATGTCTCAGTCTTCCACATGCTGTGTAAATGACATGTAGATCCATCATTACTTATTAGTGATGGTGTCTTCCTGCTCTGCTGCTTTAAAGTGCTACATGGGGGCCAACAACTCCAGCGAGAGGGCAACGTGAAAGGGCGGTTCTCACAAAGAGAGTTAAGAGTCCGGAGTCTGACATTATATCAAGATAAAATGTTATTTCTTAAAAGATGTTGCTTCCAAT